AAGACAAAATCATCCTTCTTTCGATCTTGCCAGAGTTTTGCATGGTCGATACATTCAAAATCCAGCTGCCTACTGAGGACGCGATAACTCGAGGCCTGACTGAGTTTGCCAAGACTAAAAGGGTTACTCTGTGGCTTTGCTTCCTCTCCCAGATCTTCCTCGACGTTCATCATATCATGCGACACAGTACCTTGGGTGCATTTGGAGAGCTCCGAATGTCTGGACTTCGCATCCAAAAGACTATTGATGACTACCTGCAATTGTCAAGGACACACCCTCAGCCCAAATTTTGGCCCAAAGAGGGTGACGAGGAGATTCAAAATATAAGGTCAACCGTGAAGTCATGGATTATAGAAGATCTATTCCTGGATGTTCGGGTCCGGTCTGGACTCGACAGAATTGGCTCCCCACCCGAAAAGCATGCACTCTTTTCGCAGCACACTATCCTCTGTGGCTTGATCCTGTTCAACCTTAATGTTCGAATGCAGTTTGTTGGCCAGCAGCTCGTCAATCAATGGTACGACATCCCACAACTGGCCTTCTTGCACAACCTCGTCATAAATTCTTCAACACACAAAGATCTGAGATGGCCTGATATGGATGCTTTTATCAAGATCCATGGCGAGTCTCACATTTTCATTGGTTCGCGGCCAAAGAACGCCAATGAATCGCTGAAGAGGCTAGAGTTGGCCACAGGCATCTCATCTGCTGCCAATTTTGCCCGCGATTCCCGGAGCAAAAGATTCCATAAGCCTGACGGCAAGAATCCCCGCTTGCTCAAGCCCACCACTGTAGTCGCGAACTTGTTTTTCGCCCAGTATGTTGGTGGTCCTGAGGAAGATGCTGGGGTTTTAAATGTTGACAGGATCTTGGACAAGCTTTCGCAGAAATTGAAGCTTGAATCATCCAGTAAGGAGCTTCAGAATGCCAATCCTGAGCTCATTATTGTCCGAAAGTGGTCTAATGCCCACAACATCGACACGCTGCAGCTTCTCGCCTTCTTGAAGAGCAAGCTATTCCAAGAGGAGCCTATCCTGATGTACAACTACTTCGGCATGCATAAACGCTGCATCGAGTTACTCAGACTGATCCGAGACAAGGAGCACCAGAAATTTGTTCAATATTTCACGTCAGCGTACATGCCCGATGAGTCCTACATCTCAAACATCGTCCTTCTCATCCATCACGTTGCGCAAGGCTCAGCCCAAAATGCATGTGCAATGGGACTTGCGTCTGGTGGAGTTGAGGTAGCGAGTCGGATTGTCATGAGCGCTGGCGACGTGATGCGGGAATACTTGAAGAAAAATGGAGATGTGGCATGTAAAGAGCTGAGGGTGTTCTGCAAGAACAAAAATCCAATCCAAGATGATGTTGCTTATGATAAGGGCAAATTGGACGAGCTGGTGTACTCCTGGCTCAGTCTTGAGGACATTCTTGGCCCCAAGGGTGTGGCCTCAGTCATGACTGGGATCCGTATAACTTAGGCTTATGGACCTGGTACCGCCTTGAGCCGACAACGGTTCAGACGTACGCACACTCTGCTTCATTTTCTACTAGCAATGGTCCATACAAACCATCTTATGAATAATACGAGTCCAATAGATGAGGCGAGACGAATGGACTTAGATTCTTAATGTTGCAACTCGCGATTGTACGGGCTGCCCATGGGCTACCCATCATCTTTCGAAAAATTTTGCAATTCCACTCACCACTTTCCTGTAGTTGGCGATCAGTGCTCTCGACAAAGAGCGAGGGGGGAGCTATATCAGGACCCAGCAAAGTTTGGGGCTCAGAAAGAGGAGCATTTCAGGTCACCATAGTAAAGAGCATTGTAATTTAGAAGGAACATTTTGTAGCACACTTACGCTTCCTTCACGTGGCAAGATACCACCTGTGTGAGCGTGCTCATTGTTGTTGAGGCAATGAAATGTGTGGTACACTCCTCGGCCCTGATGGTGCGGAGGAAGTCGTCACTACGCTGCGAATAGACTCGCGCGTATGTATGTGCCCCGAAGTCTGGCGGGTCCACGGCACAAATCCTCAGGTGGGTTGTCAGAGGAGGGAGAGCTGCGGATCGAGTATCTCGGCTCGTTTGACAAAGTCGAGAGACAGGGGATAGTCACTCCAAATCCTGACGCCATGGATGTTGAAGTGCTTGCTCTGCCGTTGGCCGTGTCTTGTGGTTAATATTCAAAAGGTAACGAAGAAAGCCAACACAATCTGGGGAGACATTAACTTTGGCAAGCTCTTCTTCAAGAGATTCAACTTTGATAAGACCCTGCTTCATGAAGAATTCCACCAAGTCAAATTTGATTTTGTACTTGGGATCCTTGTCTTGTTCTAATGGTCCAACAAGTTTCATAATCTTGTCAATGGCCCAGGCAGATTTCTTCATGTCAAAAGGAAACTCTTGAACATGAGAATCTTGGTTCCAGTTTCCAAAAATAACTTTATTGGCAAAGAAATGTGTTAGCTATGCAAAAGGTTAGCAGTGTTTTAGAATGCAAGAATTAAAATAACAAAAATCATGAAACCTACAGTAACTTCAACCAACCACATCTGGCAAGATAATATTGGCAACACTCTCTTTCAGATCTCAGGGGCATAAATTCAACTCCCTGCAATCAGAAGTCATCAAATCCCTCAGAGATGATCACTAGTGAAAGTAAGTATATGATTGCAGGTTACAATTCAGACAGTGCAACATATCTGCTCTGAGATTGGCAAGCTTCACAGTAGATTTCAGCAAGTCCACATTGAAGACAAGAACATTATTAGGGTTGATGTCTTTCATTCTGATATTAGTTTACTGAACACACACCAGATGTGGTTGTTTATGTATGTGTATTGTGCATATCTGTGTACACAGCAGTAAAGTGTCTATTCATGTCTGAGAAGACTTTCAAAGCTTCAAGAATGAATTTGACAGTAATTTTCAGAAAAGACTGGCTGAGTTTCTGTTCTCTGGCTCTTAATAATCACAGATCAGTATTCAAGCACTTGAATATCATGCATCTGTCTGTATCATTATCAACAACTTCATGTATTGCTTGTATATATGGGGAGCTGGCAATACAGCAGTAGCTATAGCAGTTGGCCTCAGTTTGATATATGATTAAATCAGCACTTTCTGTTTTAATGATTACTTTTTCTTCAGATTTATCTTCAGTCAGCACATGCATACATGTAAAGAAGAGATACTGGGCAGAGTGAGGCTTACAGTGTATTAGTTCTCACTGTTGAAGCTTGAAAGACATTTTGCTTGAGTGCTTTTGCAACTTTGTACAACTCACAGCTGAGATTTGCCTCGCTTCCCTTTCATGAGTTGCAAGGACACTTCCATTACAAGGACATGGCGTTCTGGTTGACCCGGGTTTGCAATCACACATAGCACAATGTCCTTATAACAGAGTGCATCATTGGACCCATGTAGGCAGCCACTCTCGATCAATGCTCCAGGTTGTGTACTGATATTCTCAGCAACTCTGAGAACATTCCCACCATTCTGAAATCATTCTACAGCAATCAGGAACATTTCTCAGGTAGAGGAACCTTTAAAAATGAGAACCATTTCCTATTCAGGAACAGTGAAGATATCATTCCCGCTGTGGAAACCTTTTGGGCAACTGTTTACAGTGGGTTCATCAGGGTTCCACAGTTTTTCGGGCCTACAAAATTCCGATAAGGGATAGAGTTTGGGCGCGGAAAACTTAAAATCGATGTTTGGCGGATGGCCGAAACAGCCTGCGGATGAACATGCAGAAGGGAGATGTGCAGAGGCAGACCACATTCGGCCCTCACTGGCATACTTTTGTTTTTCCCTCGTTGCAATCCACATGGTCTGATCCCCGGATCGCATTTCTCGCGGGTGCTTGTGCTCCTAGCGCGAAGGAGAACCCGGATCCGATCAGATTTGGCATTCAGGGGTGGGCCAGTCGAGGGTGCTTTTGAGGATACCTGGTCATCGGCGGACTAATAGTTGTTGTCCTGATCATATCAGGATGGTGGCGGCTATTCTCTTCTGAAGGGTGCTAACCAATTCTACGCGATCACCGCTTAGGAATACCGTCGCAACAAAGCTTCACTGAAAGGACTATAGGTAATCGGGCATGCGCAGGGCCCTCCTGGCTCTCGTGGCAAAGTCCTGCTCGAAGCAGACTCGTGTATTCCCATTTATGCATAACGAGGTCTCCAGGACGATATCGCCGTCAAACATGCTAAATGTTGGCCCGCTATTCAATGCCCGCCACTTTGGAGGCCAGGTCGCAGACGTACATACTATGCCGGTGAAATCCATCCCGACCAGGGATGCATCCATGGGAATTAATTTTTTGTGGTCTACTGCTCTTCTTGCTCCGAGATTGTCCCCGATTCCAGTTAGGTATAACGGGTGAAGGGTTCGGGGAGAATGGCAATGGTGCCGCCCAATGCAACGACCGACCACACTTGACGCATTGCACCTGACCAAACAAACGCCATGGTTGCCGGGAAAGTACACGCAACGGCTTCGGTGGTGGCGCTCAAGAAGCGGTCCGCATGTCGTTGATTCCACCGAATTTCCCTCTTTAAATAACAGTTTTGCCCTGTTTCCACTATACATTGGGTTAAGCTTAATGTCCCCCATCTTCAGTACTTTCATATGGTATTTGCCGCATAGGCGGTTCTAGCCTCTAGGAGACGCTCTCCCCAACCTTGTGTTTCTCAGCGCAGCGAGAACGCTCCTGAGCCTGACTTCCTGATTGATGAGGTGAATCGGACTCAATTTTGGGACTAACTTTGGTTGCGTCCTTTCGTGCCATATAGGTTGATGTCAGGCCCGTAAACACGCCTTGTTCGACCCGTCCCACCCCTAAATGCGAGGGTGCTATCGTTCGTCCAGCCGCCCCGCTGTGACGCAGCGCTTTTACATACTGTCCATACGCTACGATCTTGGGATTGGTTAACCTTAGGTCCCCGGAAAGTTACTGGTCCTACTTTCCCCGATATGCTAATCGTGCAAGCTTATCATGAGCCAAGGATGGTCTACTTTTCTCCCCGGCTAATCAGAGTGACTTTTTCACTTGCAGATTTGGCCACTTGCTCTCAGCAATTCTTGGCCAAACTGCCCGTGTTCTTTGTCACCAGGCCTAACCGCATAGATGATCTCTCCGGCCCCGGGGCGGAAGTTCTTCGGGAGACTTGGCACCCAGCTGACTACGTACTGAGGCCGTAACGTCATCGCCAGAGCATGGCTTGGCTCCGGTAGTCTAGAGGCTCCAGCCACGCACATGTTTCCTGAAAGCTGGTGGCCATACATCTGGAGATCGGAGTTCAAAAAAACATCATCCTTCCTGCTCTCCTTCTATTTACCGTTCAATTCCCAGCGCAGGCATGTCTTCAGACTCGCAATCAGGCCAGCGTGAGGGTGGAACCCTGACCGGAATGGTTAGAAGGCAGTTCAAGCGACACAAATCCACCATGAGCGCGCGGTCGAGCTGCGGTGGTGGTTTGAAATTAGGCAGGCTAGGGAAGAGAGACCAAAGTCCTGTAAATCTTTGCCTACGCCGAGTTTTATCCAATGATAGGCTAACCGGTATATTAGGCCCAACCAATACCGCCGGAAGCGTCAGATTCAGGATGCTCACTCTCGGAAATTGAAAGCCTAGGGTCTGCTGGGAGTGACGCGGGACCAAACACACCCGCCGCACTTCAAGAGGTCTATGAAGCTGCCTCCGGCAGTCACATTGAGCATATTGATGGCGTTGTCCACCAACCCGACTCGCCTTTCTCCGAGCAGGAGCTGAAAGATATCTTCTCTGGGGCTCCACACTTCCTTTTGGAAAGGGGGAGAAACTCGCTCTGGTACCCACATATCCTCTTCCCCTGGGATGACAATACTTCCATACAAAATCTGCGAGACCGAAAGCCTCTGAATCACCCTTCTCACTCCCTGTCGACGCTTCATGCACATCTTCCCGTATGCCAAGCTCCAAATGATCCACGGCCAACATTGAAATACTGGACCCAGAAAACAGAGGGAAGACGGCCAACTTTCGACCTGGGTGTGTTCGAGGTTCCGAATATGCTCTCGGCTCGGGCAAAGGAACCGGGGTGTGTTGGGTTTCGCAATTATTTAGAACTTCCAATTGCACACTCCTCTAGGTATATCGCCCATACGCACTCGGACCCACAACACAAAGATATATTTCCCGGGTCCCTTTCCAGCCGTCCTAACGATCCATATTCATACTGTCGACCGCGGATCATGGTTGACCGTGCAGATCTACTCAGGGAAGGCCCTACCGCTTGGCGCCGCCTGGGGGTTCGCTCCTGTTCCATGAAGGCTATAGCAGAGCGGTTGGAAAAGCTGTGTGGGGTTCGTGAGGATGTTATGTGCAGATATCAGCAGAAGAGTATTCTAGACAACGAAAGCGTTACACAACTCAACGACGAGTTGTTCTCGAGATTTTTGTACCCTCTGCCGAGGGAACTGAGAGACTATGTCCCAGCCGAACCGGGTAGTTTGAAGTATCAAATCGTCGTGCTGATGCAAATTCTTGCTGTTAAGGGGGCATGGATAGACTTTAGCCTTGTGGAATGGAGGATTCGTGCGGGACAGCTGCTGTGGGAGGTGCCTCCTCATCTGGATGGCGATTGTTTAGACCCAGTCCCAGATGATGGAGATGATGGCATCGAGCGGAAATGGCTTCTCTTTCAGATCCTTCTGACTGGAGAACTGGTGCTTCGGGTTGACGCAGCTGTGAAACTCGGCGTCATTGCAAAGTCGAAAAGCTTGCTCATCACGCCGCAAGACATCTATCAAATGAATGAGATGAGAACACATCAGATCGACTGGGGAATTATTTCTGGCCGCCGAGCTGTCGAGAACCTGACGTTCAAGTACAGCCTGCACGAAAAGATTGAGGAGCAGCCACCCACTGCTCCCAAGTCCAAATCTAGCCGCATCAAGGCGAGATTTTCCCGTTCGAAGCCGAAGGTCCCCCAAACCATAGACTCTCCGTGGCATTGCCGCCTCCTCCCTCGTTTCCCCATGCGACAACTTGAAGGGCTGTTTGTGTTCGCAGAAGCACTGGAGTGGCCAGGAATTGAAAAGATGAAGGAAAAACTGGCAGCTAAAGTTTCTAACGCTTTAACAGATGAGCACTCGATGATAATGGCGTTTGATTCGCCGTTAAAAACTACCGCGACGTCCCATCACCGCCTGGAGCGGCAGGACATGTATCGAAAAAGCCTAACAGCAAAACTCATCCACCTACAAGTCCCGCCAGATGAAGCCGAAAAAGATATGTTATATCTGGGGGGCTGGGCATCTCGATCCTGGCTTTCTGGATTTATCATACCTGGCGAGTCAACCAACGATCTCTTGATAGCGACTCTACTGGAAAATGATACGCACGCCCTAAAACGGCTAGGACCGATTGCGAATTTATACGGTGGCTTTATCTATCAAGGGAGAAGCTACTGGAGCAAAGTATGTATCGTGGGCCGTGTTCTAAGCACGTTCTTCCCACGTTCACTGTGTATGGGGTGGGCGGGATGTAACATCATGCCTCAAGACGAAGATGGAGAAAACATCATCAATTGTTGGGTCGAGATTGCCTCGAAAGATAATTATGTTTCCCGAGGGGAAGCACGTATTCATCAGGGAAGCAAAATACTCTTAGAGTCATCCCCGCTGGGGGCAGAAGGAGACTTGACACCTAGGGCATTCTCTCTTCCGATCGACCACCAAGACACAGAGTGCCTGACGACCAACGTCTGTTTTGAACGGCTCACGCTTTCAGTTCACGGAGATGAAGGGCAAAGGGGGGAGCCAGGATCCGGTATACCACGAAAAGCGTCAGCGTTGGTAAGTTTCAAGGTCTCTCAGCACGATTCCAAGTCGGAGCTGGTTACCTTCCCTCTGACGTTCAACGTCCAATTCATCTCGTCATACACCTGTCTGCCTCCGCCTGGATATATCGCACATTTATGCCCCAGTGAATCGAGAGCCAGGAGCCAGCCAAGCTACCACCGCCACGTCCACCCCTTCGTCTCAGACGACTCGGGGGGAGAAGGGGACGTCGGCGAAACGGAGATGCTTGCCCGGAAGCTAAGACCAAGCGGTCAACCGCGACTTCCCGGGCATCCGCTGCACACAGTATCCTATCCATACCGCTATATTCCGATCTCTCTGCTAGCCAAGATGCCCGTGCTGCAGCAGCTCAAGCCCCGGATCAGCTTTATGGCGCATCCGGATGAGTTCCTGGGCTTTGTGGACCCGACCAGACGCTGGCGCCGTTTGCGACGACGGGAGACGTACATAATCGACGCTCGAGGGGGCGTGGACAAGGAGGCGTACGTGCGAGCGTGGTGCTCTGCCGTAGGAACCGATGCCGTTGTTGCGCGGATCGGACGGACGTGCCTGGCTTGCTCTATTCGCGAAGCACGAGCAGCGAACGTGCCCGTTGTCGTTCGGGTGGGCGCAAGGTCCTGTGAAGGTAGCATCAGAGGAAGCTCGGTCTCGGGCCAATCTGGGAAAGCTCTGTAGTTGTATATGGCTTATTCTCGTGCTCTCAATTCTCCTTCGTCGCTGTTTTGTTCCGTTCTTCTGGTGTGCATACCCTGTCTCGTAAGACCCTGTAAGAGCCTCTGTCAAGAAATGAGAAAAGTGAAACCTGCTCATCAAATCATCAATCCATCACCATTACCCAGTAGACTAGAGTAGTGCCCAGCGCAAGGTTGCCACGCCGCGTCGTTGTGCGCTGCCCGGCGAAGACGCCTCGGTGGCCGAGGAAACGCGACGACGACCTCAAACACCCCGCCCTCAAGAAACTTGGCTCGTGAGTAAGCTGGTTGTTTTGGTTAACTAACTATTAACTACCCCGCCAGCGCCGAAACACTCCTCGCCAATACAACAAACACGAAACGAAGTGATCTCTCTCTCACTCTATCTCTCTCTGACCTCGATTCGGTACGTGCTACACTAATCAATTCATATGCGGTTCTATCCGTCCTTCGCCCGTCCGATTCCATCTTGCTCCAGACCGCTCAGACCCTCTCTGCCAGCTCCCAGATACACTCATCGACTGCTTGCTTCCCGTTTGCGCGCATACAGCTGCGGCACAGTAGACATGTCCAACTACAGCAAGGCCTGCTGCTCGTAAGTCCTCACCGTCATCGTGCATGGACGGGGTCTGGAATGGTTTGCTGACGCATGGCCGCTTTTTTTTTGGTTTTTGCTTTTTTTAATGCAGTATCCCACCAGTGATCTCGTCCGGGTACGAGACCAAGGGCAAATACATCACCCTCAATGGAATGAAGACCTGTATCTTGCTCCCCCATCAAAATACCTTGTTTTGCTTTTGGCGACCAGGGTTAACTAGACTAACTCGAGGAAGATGTCACCGGTCCCGAATCTGCCCAGGAAGCCATCCTCGTCGTCTACGGTAAGTTCCCACCAACAATTACCATGAAACAAAAAAAAAAAAAAAAAAAAGAAAAGAGAAGAAAACCACCCGCCAACATTCAAATAATTGCACCATAGACATCTTCGGCTTCTTTCCCCAGACCCTCCAAGGCGCAGATATCGTCTCCACATCCGACCCAGACCGCAAGTACCGCGTCTTCATGCCCGATTTCTTCGATGGCTCCCCAGCCAATATCTCCTGGTACCCTCCCCAGACCGAGGAGCACCAGCAAAACTTGAGTCAATTCTTCCAGACCAAGGCTCCACCGCCAAACACCCTCCCCCGCATCCCCGGTGTCCTCGAGGAAGCTAATAAGCTCGCCCCCGGCGGCGCAGGCTTCAAATCCTGGGGCATGATGGGCTACTGCTGGGGCGGGAAGATCACCTCTCTCGCCGCCGGCCGGGATTCTCTCTTCAGGGCCGCCGTGCAGTGTCATCCTGCCATGGTGGATCCCAAGGACGCAGAGAGCGTGACTATCCCCATGGCTCTTCTGGCGTCCATGGACGAAGAGGTCGACGTCATCGAGCAGTACAAGAAGAACCTGAAGGTGCCGAATCTCGTCCAGACCTGGCCGACGCAGATCCACGGATGGATGGCGGCGAGAGGAGATCTAGCGAACCCGGAAGTCAAGAAGGAATATGAGAATGGGTACAAGACCGTCTTGGCCTTTTTCCATGAACACATGTAAGGAACAAACAAAAAGAATCATTCCACCAAAAAAAAAAAAAAGGAAGCCATTTTGCCTGCAATATGCATAGTCGAAACATGTGAAATGGAGGGTGGTGTGAATTGCTGTCACAGTGTCCCTTCTCTACCCTTGCCTTTCCTTTTCTTTCTTTTTCTCATTCTTGTTCTCTACCTTTAATTTCCATGTTTGTCCCCCAAATGTGAGATACACAGAAGAAAACATCCCGAAGGGTGTCATGTGAGACGCTATAAATAATTCCCATGAATGATTGACTGACCAAACAAATCCACTTTTCCCTCCATTCAGGCCCGGCACCACCTCAAAGATCTAAGATTCCTTTTTCACACTGATGATCTCTCCCAAGGGAAACGTGATCAAGCGGGGAGCCAACATTACTCCCGAGGGGGGGGGGGTTGTCAGGGTGGGAATTAATAGCCGGTCGGTTTGCCAAGAGCAACAGTTAACAGGGGTTCGCCGGCTGATCTGGAAAGGGGGGAAGGACGAAATGGTACTTGGGCTGACTTCATGTACGTAATGTCTGCTGCGACAGCGAGAACCAGTCCATCGCTGAGATTGAATCATAGGATCACCTTTAAACATGTGAACTCTGTGGCTATGCTTTCGAGCCCAAAAAGAAAAGAATTGGAAAAAAAGAAAAATAAAATAAAAGGAGGTCAATGCAGGAGAGCTTGAAAGATGCGCTCCGTATCTAGTATAATGTTCCCTGTTTCATGAACGAAATTTGGATGCATCAGAAAATAATGGAGAGCGATTCGATCTCCTTTCCTCCGGATCACAATGTTTCATTTATGCTTTAGTTTCTTTCTATTTTTCTTTCCTTTTTTTCTGTTTCCCTCTCTCATCTGTTCTCAATATGTTGGACTTCAAAATGCATAACCTACTCCCGTACTCCGTACAGAGATGAAAGTTTTGGCCAAGAACAGGTTGTTCCATCTAATCCATGCCTAATATGTGCGAGGATTTGGTCATGGTATTGTATATGGAGTCTGTATGTATGCTGCCTATTGTATACACCAGAGGCATTCGGTTCGTTCCAAGATGAAGAAGGTAAGAAAGACGGCAGCCAAAAAAAAAAAAAAGGAAAAGAAAAGAAAAAGAAAATATATATAAAAAGTTTCCAAGATCTGAAGAACCGAAAAACCCAAAACGGTAATATAGAAAGTGTGGAAAAAGAAATAGAAAAACAAAAATCCACGGAAAAGAAAAAAAATCCCAAAATCGATGAAATTGAAAGGGAGACAAGGAAGTATCTCAAATTCAAATCCGCCCAAAGTCAAACCGGCAGGAATCGAAAAATCACACCGGCCGAGTCAAAGAGTCGGCAGGGATGGTCGACTCATCATTCCATGCCTAAAAAAAAAGTCAAAATGAAAAAGAAATACACCAATGAAATGAATCAAAAAAATCCAAAAGAAAAGAAAAAAAAGAAATGAAAAGAAAAAGTACCCAAGCTCGACTTGCCTGCGCGAAATGGGGAAAAAAAAATTCTCTCAGAGAACATTCCAAAAGTAAATCGTTACTCTCGGAGCACGTTAGTCGTCAAAACCGTAGCCGGAAAAAACGGAAAAGGGTATATGAACCGCACGAACTTTGCTGTATTGGAGAGATGGAGGGGAAAAAAGAGAGAGAGAGAGAGAGATAGAAAAGAACGGAGTGTAGTCACTGGCAACCCCTGATGCCGAGAACTGGAAAGCCAAAACACGCAAAGCCGTAAAACAACTGATGCCCCTTTGTCTTTTTTTTATCTACGCCCTGCTAATGGGGATGAACCAACACCGAGATGAAAATGTGCAATGCGCCATAAACAATTCTTTCCGATTCAAACTGAAAGGACGATAAGAGCCGAGGCCAGATCACCGTAGAACCCTTGGCCGGTGTCCCAAGAAGGGCAAGAGGGAGAACTCTGCAGCGGTGTTCGGGTCGTAAAGCGATATGTCTGCATATATAAAGGGAGGATTATGGTTTTTGCATCGGATGTGGAACGCCAGGGTCAAACGGCTGCAGTGGGCTGGTCACAATCGGCGCATCTTGCTTCATGTGGGCGTACGGGACCCCACTGTCTCCGTACCAAGGGGCCATGGGATCTGGGATTCCCGGAACAATTGGCTGGTTGGAAGTAGAAATATCTGCAGGAGCCATGTTGCTCCAGGTATTGTAGGCCAAAGACTGCTGCTGAACGTCATATGAAACAGGAACGTTGTGCGGTGGTTGGATTCCGGAAACGGGCACGCTCATAGGAACTGAATACATCCGGGCAGGGTTTCCAATATGAGGCTTATACTCCGAAGGTAATGGTGCATGTAACTGGGCCGTGTACCCTGGGGCAGTAACCTCAGGACTTGAGAGGGGCATGGTGCTGGGTTGCAGGTTCCAGGCTGTCGCGTCTGTCACGATGCCAAACGCGGAATTTCCTGTAACGTTGGGTGGAACGAGTCCTGTAGGACTTGCAGTAGCACTCAATGCAGAGATAGAAGAAATAGGAGTGGTCATTGGCGTACTTTGATCCCAAATGGCACCTGTCGGTGAACTCGCCTGGAGCGGGGGAGGGACGCTAGAAACCTGCTGATCGTAAATGGAAGAAGCATCCCATGTCGCTGGTTGGGCTAAGGATTGCACGGAGCTGAGAGCTGTGGTGGGGTCTATGCGAGAGTTGATTAATGAACGCCTTGAAATAGACGACCAAATGTGGCAAATGACAAACCTGGTGAGTATGGCGACATTGTCGTGGCCCCGTAGGTACCAGGGTTGAAGGTCGCCATGTCCGGAGTCGCGTTCACGGGGATTGAAGGATACGGGAAATAGGAATCTTTCTGCTCCATCATCGGCCCGCGGCCGAGAAGTGTGGGAGTGGTGACCATCGACGCGTCCGGCGTTGGGGGTTCTGCTTTGGATCCTGCGCGACTTCTTTTCTCCACCGGTGGTTGTTGGTCCACTGGGTAAAAATGGCATTCTTTCTTCAGGCGGATGCAGTTCTCGCATCGTCCTTGGGCGTCATCGGGAGCAAGTAAACACCGGATCTTCCTTCGTCTGCAGTGGACTTTTATTTTGAAAGATAAAAAAAAATCGGTGAAGCGTCAGCAGTGTCGCGAAGCGATCCCAGGCAACAAAAGAAAGAAAGAAAGAAAACGTCAAGTCGTCGCAAATCCGGCTCATTGACGGCTCGCCTGCAGATATTGATTAAACGGAGATAGTATGCTTACCGCAAGCAACGGAGGTTCTATGGTATCCGAGTTTGTTTCGTTTCTTGTCTGCAGTGCCGCCGGTTGAGGCCTCCATTGCCAAGCCCTGTGAAGATTCCTGAGATATGTTGTCGGTGGACGGCTCCATGCATAGTTTCTTCAAGCCGGTCACGCGCTCCAAGAGGCAACAAAAGCGAAGGGCCTATTGTTGACTAACTGGAGTAGACTGTGATGGGGAATCTGGATGTGTTCTGGCTCCCATGCGACACGGAAGGAAATCTTGCGCTGAGATTATCAGGGTTTAATGCCATGCCCGAAATGACCCAAGGCTGCAGTTCTCCACGCCACAAGCAGCCGGCCCCCAAGATCTAGTATGAACAAGAGGGCATCAGAGACCGCAAGATATGATCGCCCAGTATTATACTCCCTATTCCGGGGGGGTATATTGATGGAGGGATTTTGAAGGGGGACAGATTGAAATGGGTTGCCGCGGGTGGATTATAACCCAGGAGGCCAGGATGCAGAGAGGAAGGCAAGAACCCAAATACGAAGCCAATTCATGCGAATTGCTTATGAGAGAAATGAGGGGAGTTGAAAGAGGAACCGAGCGAAAAAAATAAAAAAAAATAAAAAAGGGCCCCGGTCCGCAATTTAGAAACGAACAAAAAACGTAAATAGAATAAAATAGATAAAAAAAATAAAAAATAACCCAAGCTAACTAGCCATGGGGTGAAACGCCCAAGACTTTTTTGCTTGCTCCTGCGCGGTGTGCGTAACCAAGAGCTTAGTGACCACACAGTCAGGACATATTATTAGATTGCAAAATTAATGGCCCATCGGACAGGTAGTCTAACCAAAAACAACATCCACCCGCAAATCATTAAAAGCGGAGAGGCATAAATTAGGCTACTTCTGGCCTCGATTTATGGAGGTGCGAGCGGACCACTCACTCCACCCTTCGAACCACAACGCCACGGAGGGACGAAAAGAAATTAAAGGCCATCAATGCTGCCATTGGACGCTGAACCAGGTGATGGAAGCATAGATGGAGCAATGATCCAACGGAGAGAAGAGGGTTCTGGGCCATCGAGTTGATGAGACCTTTACAGTGGTGATCAGCGGAAAGCCACATGAGTGTTGAAGAAGTTTATGAGTGAAATTCCTTGGACAGTGTGACCTCAAGACGCAAGTATCTGGATGTACAGAGTACTCCGTACTCCTCACAAGAAGTCAAAATATGTATATAGATGTAGCTTTTCTGACGAGGGTGTTCCTCGCGCCAGCGCCCAAACAAGCTTTGGAGTATTTCCTCAGCTCGAAGGGCACACTGAGAGGCCGCACTATACGGAAGATCATTAACATCCTCCCCCCCAAAAAAAAATAAAAATGAAAATAAAAAAAATAAAAAAGGATCAAGGGTCCGGAGGATATGTATGTCTGGACATACGGTACATCCCTGGACACTGCCCGATAGCAGCCAAAATAAAGTGCGCTTTTTTCCCAAACACGCAATGCCATGCCATGCTCGTCACCGGGGCTAGTTTCTTTTTCCTCTTGTATTCCCCCCCATTGCTTTTTCCTTGCCTTTCTTTTTCTTTTTTTTCTCTTCCTCTTTGCCAATCTGGCCTCCCCTTCGCGTGCTGCCGGCTCTGGACACGATCCGAGGATTCTGGGAATCTGTGGAGTAGCGGTGCTTTGACGGTCAATGCATGGAGGAAGATGAAACGTTTTGGATTCGGACGGTGGCGTGAGCCGAAAGGGGAAATGATGACTGTGCCGCTACCTTTCAGCCCGGTCTTGTCAGCAACGATACGCCATAAATACACTTTCCCGCCAATCTAGCGCGTAATATTCGCGATCCCTGGTAACGAGACTGTAAGGCCGCCGCCTCGTAGCCAAGCCAGCCGCGTTAAGGATGACCACGCTAGTAATTAATACATACATACATAGTATACAGTTTCGCTGCACATGCCCTATTGAATCTCTCTCTCTCTCTCTCTCTCTCTCTCTCTCTCTCTCGGCTGTCTCTGAATCTTAACCACGGCTCTGGCTGAGTAGTTCACGAGTTGACGGGGTCAAAACTCCAGCGTCTTCCATGCACTAACTACCGATGCGCGACGTGGCTGATGTTCCCCAGAATGTTGCAGCAAAAAAAGGTCCCCGAAGAGGGACGCGGGTTTATCCCAGTCCATCGCATGTCTGATGTCCATATATTGGTCCAATGAAGCAACCTCTATCTAGCAAGAACCAAGCTCATCAATGTGCGGTCCAGGCCAAACATTTAGGGTTAACATTCCCAACCATTCCCGCGTCGTGCCAGCTCCGGCTGGCCGTCCCTGGCCCGCTGAGCACAGGACCAATCAACATCTCACCCAGCCGCTGTCCAAAGGCAGACCGCGCCTATTATTCAGCGTCTTTGACGCCTTTTTGCGCGGACAGCAGCTCTGAGTTTGATTCCCTGGCTAAAGGAAGGGACGGAAAAGGGCGCAAGCCACAACAATCGAGTCCAAGGCAAATCCAATGCCCTTCGGACATCACATTCGGCCACTGAAAAAACCTGTAACTTTAAAACCATGCATGTGCTGTAGCTCCTTCCCAGGCTCGAAGCTTCGGCCAATGAATACACACTGCAGGGTGTTGGCGTCCCAATGCCCTTTTCTCCCCTCCAGAAAACAAAGCCCCCTCACGGTCAGGTTTGCACGATGACACACATGGCTGAACAATGCCCATTCATCCGGAACGAGGCCTGACGGAGTCTGGACATTGATACCACCCCGTCTCTTCAGACATTGAGTATAAAGCCACTGAGACGCAAGCGAAGCCAAATTTTCCCACTGATTGGGCAAACGTGCCCGGCGTCTTCACTTGATTGGGACGGCCTCCACACCAATGGAGTTATTAACCCATTCTCGATTGTATCGGAGCGTTGCTCGATGTCAAATCGGAATTGTCTCATTGGGTTGCGGATGGGGAAAACGAGGTGTTCGGATTTGCCGAGGCCTTCTCGCCTGAGAGCGAGTTGCAGGCGGATTCAGGGCAAAGGAGAAGATAAGATCTGCATCCGGAGTGTTAATACTCCGTTCTCCTCCTCTCTTCTGATTGAACGCCTGGTGTCCATCCGATCGCCAGCTTTAGCGTCACGAACGTTGTCGAAATTGGGCGTTTCCAGGATGCCAAGCCAGTTAGCCTACCGCGAAACGCTCTGAGACGACACCACCGCCCACCTATCACGTCCCCCGTCGACCACGGGCCTCCCCCACTCCCCGTACCGGAAAAGCAAACCTGAGATCAGTTTCGCACAGAAAGAGAGAGAGGGGGGAGAAGCGAAGGCCACCAGATTGCTACATACATCGAACCCACCGCGGCGCCCTAAGCTTCCATTCCTGGCCAAGTGTGTGAACGCTAATCTGGCGTCGAAAGCCGTTCGAGCCCACCAGACCGTTCGCCTTTTTGTGGTTGTTCGAAGACCGCAATCGACTGGGCGCTTTGACCATCTCTCGTTAAATTAAGGGATCATCTGCGCCTCCACCCTCTCTCGGCTGCGTGAACCTCCATTTCGCCCATCGTCCCAGGGCAAATAGATGCCGAGAGGTCGTTATCCCGGAATGTGGCACGTTTCATCATTCATGCAGTCGGAGCGACCATCCATGGTCCTTTTGGAGGTGTCAGACGTCGGATTCAAGCTCCAGGTTTCAAGGCTTAAGGCTGCTCCCAAGAATTCCGGGATTTTATAACGGCCAGGGTACCCTGATCCTGGGATGTTATATAAATAGGTCGACTCTGTCACAGGTTACTGAATCCATGTTGGTAACTTGCATGGGCTGCATATCCCCGGCGCGAAGTCCCATCTAGTCACGGAGGCCGCCGAATCGTTCTGTAAGTGCAAACATATCATCTATCTTGGCAGAAAGCAGATTGCAAAGCATTCTCTTTCACATGTTTTGCTGGAGGGGTTACCAACGCATTCTTGATTTGTCGACTCGTTATCGCACTCACTACTCCGTACGGAGCATAGCACACTGTGCTAATTTATGAGATCCACATCTTCATTTTCCACAATTTCCATAGCCAACATCAACCAATAAGGTGCACTACCCAAAGCTGTTGAGCCCTTCAGAGTGGCCACGGTGTGGTTCCCCTTTTCCTTCTAGAAGACTGTTTCCACAATCGTACTGCATTAATAGATATCATGTTTTCGAACAATGTGCGATGCGTATGGAAAAATGAGACGACCCAGTTTGCGCTGAAATTCTTATCCATTCCCGGTCCAAAGAGTTCGTGCGTGTTGGATTTCTCACTCGAGACCTTTCTATGCGCACTAATCCCTGATAAAACCCATACGACGCTGGATTCCAATCTTGCGTTAATAAAAAAACATCAATGCTTTTAACCGAGAAGTGGAGTACAAATAAGATGACAACCGCTGATCTCAAACAGCCGAAAGACGTTCTTATCGACCGAATAGAGGATCGTGAATCGCAGGCCCCCGGCATAAAAAAGCAAATTCGAGTACTCCGTAGCAGCGACGAATTCAAGACGATATCAGGATTCTTCCCTTGCGGCTGAAATCACTCCCATATGTACGGAATACGTATATGAACATCGATCGCAACAAGGTTTAACATCGCAAGCAGCTTAGCAACTCCACCAATTCACCCTGGTAGAGGAAGCCAGACTTCTCAAAAATGTTCAAATTCTGCCTGGCCACCACTATCTGCTGACGTGGTTCGAGGACCAGCGGCTTCCAATATCTAAGCGTTAAGATAAGAAGCACGTCAATGAACGCGTCGGGGAAATACGGAGTGCATCCGGCCAAGTCATTGAAGTCGGGATCGGGCTGACGACTCGCATTCTACATACACCGTATCATGCAAATATTCACCCAAAATGTTGAAGATCAATTCCTACACCTCGGCAGAGGCTTCGACCTTTGACTTCGTTGCAAACTGCACATCCTGGACTGGCCATGCTTGAGATGATGATTGAACGATAACAGCACCGGGAAAGAATCCACAAGAAGCACCATGAGAACAAAGCGAAGAAAAAGAGTGATTTCGGAGTCTGCGTGGAGCTCGTCCTTATCACCGCTGTTCTTGTGGATACGACAGAGCCGCAATGACTCTTACTCCCTGGCCTGCACGTCGTAGGCCGGCCATATGTATATCTCTCTTCGTGGCAGTTGGGCAGTAGAATTTCACAATAGTGACAATCTTTCCCGACCCTGGATTGTCAAGACGCGAAGAAGATCATAGCTAACGACCCTCGCACCAGTGGATCCCAGAATCAATGCCCGCAGCAGCATGGGAACAGGTTTGAAGGCCATGATGTCCTCTTGGTGGGTGATCAGTTCGCTGTTTTGCGGATATCAGAATGGTGGGACTAAGCTCTGATTTATCCCTTGTCTTAACAGACGAGAACTTGACAAATCACAAGCTCGCAATTATGTGCTGAGTCCTTCGCGCATCCTCTCGGCGATCCTCAAGGCTTGTTTATCCTTAACAAGGCGATTAATAATATAATCGCTGGGAAGTTTTGAGCTTTGTCTTCAAGATCGTCGTTCT